TATAATCATCTTTCTACTTTTCATTAATCACTCTTGCTTCATCTGTAATTGTTTATTTTGGGGGTTCTGATTACTTTTGAGATATTGTAGAAGCCATACTATCTTTTAAGAATGCTAGATAATGAACATGGTTGACCAAGTGTTTCTGACCTAGGTTGTACAGTCCTTTGCATATATGAGCAAGAGTGGCATAGATGAATCTTGAAGTAGAACTTTTCACAACTCCTGAAAGAACCACCACACTCTTTTCTATAATGCCTGTACAAGCTAGCACTCCCACCAGCAATGGATAAGCATTCCCCATATCCACACTTGCATGAACTATCACTTGTTCTATTGATTTTAGCCATTGGAACTGGGGTAAGATGAATTCTCAAAGTAGTTTTTATTTGCATTTCCTTGATGACTAAAGATGTTGAATATTTCAAGTGTTTCTCAGTCATTTGTGTTTCTTCTTTAGAGATCTCTGTTTAGATCTGTAACCCACTTCGTAGTTGGATAGTTTTCCTGACATCAATTTTCTTTTTTTATTTATTTGTATATTTTAGATATTAGTCTTCTATTGGATGTGAAGCTGGTAAAACTCTTTTTCCATTCTAAGCCTGCTGCTTAGTCTGAATGACAGTGTCCTTTGGCATACAGAAGCTTTTCCATCTAATGAGAATGCATTTATTAATTGTTGTTCTTAGTGTCTGTGTCAATGATATTCTGTTCAGAAAGTCTTTTTCTGTGTCAGTGAATTCAAGACTATACTTTCTCTACTATCAGATTCAGTGTATCTGATCTTATATTAAGGTCCTTGATCCATTTGGAGTTGAGTTTAATTTAAAAAATACACAAATAAAATAAAAAGAATGTTAGATAAGAGACTGTGTTTATTGCTACTATGCAGGTTATTTGGCAAGGAAATAGACTGCAAAGTTGTGTTCTTCCTCATCTCCATTCCCAATACAGCATGAAGATGGATTGCCAATTATAAAAGACAATTAGTGATGTGTGATACCTGCCCCAGGTGTGAAGTTCCCTTAATAATCAATTAAAGGAATATTGACCTATATGCTAAGTAATATTAAAAATCTGTAGTTTTCAATGATGGGTTAAAACATCATTAATAATCATTGTGTTTCACTAACCGAGTCGCCATCAAGTACATGTAAGTTCTGAGGTTGTCAGGTGGTCTGCACTTGGAGATAACATGAAGTATGCCACACACTAACATAAACTTGAAGAGATAAGTGCATACAAATAGGAAGAGCACACACCTATTGATTTTGTGTGACATTGAAACATGGCTCTGTCGTCTATGTAGTATACTCTTAAGGAACACATGATCAGGTTACAAAACAATCAGCACAAACAGTTTTGTAATGGTTTAAGTTTGTGAGTTTGTAGTGAGCTGCATTCATTGCTACCCTGTGCTGCAAGCAGCCTGCACACTACAGGTTGAACACCCTTCCCTGGAAAATAATCAGCATGTTTCTAAATAGTCTCTGATATTATGGATATTATGCACTGTTTGATAAATATATTGAAAAATATTCTATGAAGTTCAACATTGCTGAATTTTGACTAATTTTACTTAGGATTTTCTAGACATTTCTATACAATTCTTTTCATTATAGTAAACCAACCACTGTGTTCCCTAAGGGAGTCAAACTGATAGAAGAGAGGGTCACTTTGATATATGTAAATCTTCCCTACAGAATTTCTTTTGCAATTTTTGCATCTCTGGAAATAATTATATCTTGATAAAAAATCTTAGGATATGTGACTAGCACCTTAATTTGAATTATGATTATTAAATATTACATATTATGAGGAAATTAAAGTTAAGAACTACAATCTTATTATGTGAATATACTGACTTATGGTTTCATTGAAAGCCAAGCACTTAAGTCTAATTGTACATAATCTTAACTATCTTTTGACAGCCATTATTTCTCTACCAAAGTGTGAAATCCAATTACCTGCCACAAAATAAACCCTCTCATATAACCAGAACTGAACTCAAGCAACAGAACATGGCTCTCATCCCTATTATTCCCATGATCCTTCATTCTACCTTTTTACTGAGACTAGTAGGACAGGCCTATACTCTCAACTGTTTCAGAAGCTGAGGCAGGAGGACTGCAATGCAAATTCCAGGCCAGTCTGTGAGATGTATGAAGATCTTGTCTCTAAACAAACAAACAATGGATGTGATTGAGTGGGGAAGTTCACACTGAGCACATGTGAGGCCCCACATTCTACTCCTAGAGCTAGAAAATGTCACAACAAAAGCAAAAACAAAAGACAATTGTACCCTAAAGCTAACCATAATCTAGAACTCTTATGTGATGCTATATCTTGTATCTAAGTTTTATGTGTCTTAAATTCAACCATATCAATCTATATGTGTTGTTCATTTATTTATGGCCAGATAGTATTTCCTTAAGTAAGTCATCTACAACCCATTTTAACTAAGGTGGATGCAAGGTTTCTTTTTTTCTTTTCCTTTAGTGGATACACACATGCCTTCTTGGGGGTGTAGCATAAGGAATGGAATTAATGGGAAAAGGGTTGTACATATAACCCTGCCTTAGTTGGTATTTGAAGTAATCCGAAGAGTAGCTGTGTAGATTTCTTGTCTCAACAGCAATAGCTCCAGTCTTATATCTGCAGCAGGTCTTGAAAGTGTCTCATCTGTATTTGTCTGTACATGCTGTGCGCCATGTGGTTTTATTTCACCTGTACTGTACATTCTAATTCATAAACATAGCTTGTTCCACATGTGCATGTCTTGTGACTCAGGCTTGAGTGTATGTCCCAGAAATGGTGTTAGATGGGACTCTCTTCTTAGGTGACCCTGAAGTAAGAAGTATTATGCGTGGTTTTGTTAAGAAGAATCTCACTTATTTCTAGAGATCTGTTAAATAGCAACACATTGGTTGAAGACAAAGCATTGGAAAAGGAACCGTACAAGCATATTTTACTGAAATTGATGAAAATAAGATGAAGGTCCCTCTTAATTTTTGCAAATTTTTCTTTGCCAGTTATAAATTTCTTCACTTGTTTTGTGTTGGTCATGAGAAAAACAGTCAGTGGCTCCCACTGTCTCCAGAGCTTAGTTGCAGCTTTTGTTGTATTCTGTAGCACAAGATGATTAATAGTTTGAGGGACTGGAGGGATGACTCAGGAGTTAAAAGAACTTGCTAATCTTGCAAAGGACCCTAATTTAGTTTCCAGCACCCACATAGCAGCTCACAACTGCGTATAACTCCAGCTCCAGATCCAGCACACTTTTCTGGCCTGCACAGACAATATGCATGGTGCACATACATACATGAATGTACAAAATATTCATATACACATCAAATAAAAATAAAAGACTTTTTAAAAACATGGTCTGATTTTACCTGACTGTATTTCTTTGGGGAAAATAGTTTTGGTGTTCAGTTTTGTTTTATGCTTAAGATTAGCTATTTCTCTTTCTGTAGTCTTTAGTGCCAAAAGTCAGCTGAAGCCCAAGTTCCTTGCACCAGTCTCTTCCTTACTCACTGTAGAGCCAAAAACAGCCACAGCATCTAAAAGGTAGATCCAGACGACAAACAGATAGGTAAAGTCCAGCTAAATTCTCTCAAGCCCAACTGTTTCAAAATTAGAAAGTAGAGACAGAAAAGAATCAAGGCCTCACCCAGTGCCTTCGTGGCATTTACTACCAAATCACAGGGCTTCGCCTAAAAGAGGAGATTTCTATGGAAATGATAATCACCCTCCTGTGAGTATGTGGGGCTCATAAAACCAGAGGAGTTAGGAAAGGTCAGCAAGCAGGGAGAGTTATCTCCTGGGGAAAGATTTCTAAATAACCCTGAGGAGAAAAAGAGGGAGGGAGGGAAAGAAAAAAATAAAAGCTCAACTCGAGGAAAGTAGAAATGTGCAAACTGAACAGTTTCTGGATTATCATGTAATTATAGCCATCAATCACCTCGCACCCGCTCTCCCAGTATCCCAGAAATCCCATCTAAAGCCATATGATCCAACCAGTGGAGAATACACAGCCCATTAGCAACCCTAAGGATGGGGAGCATAGTGGAAGATATTAGCCTGAACAGGAGTTTAAGGAACTACCTAAAATTAGAACAATCCAGTCCCTCTTGCCACAAATTCTAGGCACATGTGAGAGCAAAACTCCTTTTAATTACTGAGATAAGCAGTGCCTCTCCTTTTCTCCCAGGTTGGACGTGAAGTGGTGATCGTTTCTGAAGGGCTCCTCTTTCCAGATGCTCTTATTTCAATCTCTGTTTTCACTAATGTGGGGAACTGACCTGTGGTTAGTCATTTTATGAATGTGAATTTATGGTCTCTTTAAATGAGGACCTTTTTAAGTTGAGCATTTAGATACACATTTGTTCCATTAATTAGTATCAGGGGATGCCAACAAATGTCTTCTGCATAACTGTTATTTATGAGGTTTAAAGTGTTTTAATTTCTTTTTTTTTTTTGAGGGGGTTCATATTTCTTTGCTCTAAATTCTGTAGCTTTTTTAGGAGTTAGATGACTTTAGTCTTTTAAGCTCCAGTGTGTTGAGAAAAGAGAAAAATGTTTCAACCGTGGTAATGCCCCCTGCCATGCTGTATTTATCTCCCACTAGGTACCCAAATGCTTCCTCCTCTTCTCAGGCAGATAATTGCAGTGGGGTTGCAACCAGAGAGAACTGAGCTGGTGCTAAGCAGTGGATATAAAAAGAAGTGTTGCCTGGTGGAAGTAAATAGAATCTGAGACCATAATCTCTGCCCTCATTTCTTTTTGAAGCCATAAATACCCAGAGAAATGCTTTATATGCATATAGAAATGTGTCTGCCGTCATGCATGGTTTTGAACTTGTCTTAGTTTCCAGGCATTCTATGATTTCAGTCTCTGACTGCTTACCACATTGTTTTCTCTTAACACGGATGGACTGGCCTTCAAGATCCTTTGTGTTTTTAAATATAATAATGTTTCATTACGGGATTCCCCAACAGAGTTCGTCTGGTGATTTAATGATCAGAAACATTCAACTGAAACACAGTGGGAAGTATGTGTGTATGGTGCAGACAGGGGTGGACAGCGTTTCGTCGGCAGCTGAGCTCATAGTGAGAGGTAAGCAGTAGTACCTCCTATGTTGTCTAACTCAAGGCTTTCCATGAGCATTGCTCTCTAGAGGAAAGCCATGGTGAGACAAGATGCAAAAATGCAAGGCATACTATGGAGGTTACCCCTGACTCCTATAAGCCAGAAGATATGACAATAAGAATGTGTTAATTCAAAGAAATGAAAACCTCAACTCTGTGCTTCAAATAATTCTTGCTATAATTGGCATTCCACAGTTACTGCCAAGCCAATGTATTTTTGAGCATGTCATTAATTCAGCAAATGTATTTAATAGGAAAGAGAATGTGGTGTATGTGTGTCTGCCCCAAAAAGAATAGGCACTATCCAGAGTGATGGAAAAATTCAGCAACCTGGGTTACCATCTAGGGTACTGATTCAATGCTAGGCTTAAAAAGCAAATGTCCAAAGCATATCACAGAATAAAACACATCAAGGTAGCAAGCCACGTTGTGTTTCACAGAAGGGCATCCCACCCAAAGCAGAGGACAGTGAATTTGGAAAGGTGCAGAAGAAGCTGAATTTAGAAAAGTACTGGGATACTACTGAATAGAGTCTCAGTAAGCAGGTGCCACCTGTAGTCACATAGTGTTATGAATCACTACTTCCTATCCAGATCTCAAAGCTCACAATGGGGCTGTGGGGAAAGTGGTAGTTTAACTGCCAGTTAAATGGCCTCTTCCCTTAAGTGCTTTTGAAAGTGGTATCAGTTGGAGGTATTAGAGTGGTGATGTGAGCCTCTTGACTTTGGTAGTGGAGGGTGACAGTTATGGGATGTTCTTTGCATTTTTGCCTCCTTTAGGTTCACCTGGACCACCAGAAAATGTGAAGGTAGATGAAATTACAGACACAACAGCCCAGCTCTCTTGGACAGAAGGTACAGACAGCCATAGCCCAGTTCTATCCTATGCAGTCCAGGCTAGGACACCTTTCTCCGTGGGCTGGCAAACTGTCACAACAGGTAAAGTTGATGGGAGAAGCAGAGGGAAGCTACAGAGAGAAATGCGTAGCAATTGAGCGCTGGCACAGGCAGCCTCTTACCTTTTGAAATGGTCTTTGTAGTACCGGAAGTCATTGATGGCAAGACACGTACAGCTACTGTGGTGGAGTTAAACCCATGGGTGGAATATGAATTTCGAGTAGTAGCCAGTAACAAAATTGGAGGCGGAGAACCCAGTTTACCCTCAGAAAAAGTAAGGACTGAAGAGGCAGGTTAGTGCTTTTGTTTTCTGAGTAATGGGTTAATAGATTTACCTGGGTATATATTTCCATTAGCTTTGGTCTCCCGGACACCAAGAGATCTGTCTCAATAACCCATTATTACAATGATATGACCTTTCTATTGGCAAACTTTGCCATATAGCATTTATCAAAAGAACCACATCAGTGATTCTGATGTAGTGTGACATTTCAAGAGTTCAGTCAGTCACAGATGATCATTAGTGTGTGTTGAGTGAATATGTTTTTGTCACTTAAGGTTATAATTACTATCTGACATAGTTCCCCGTTAGCAGGGGTAACATTGTTTTCATTTATAAGAAGAACTGACAAATTGGCCTGATAATACCACTGGGAGCTATTCTGCTGAGAAAACTCATTCTCACACCACACCAGCAAATGCATGTAGGCAACTGATGAGTGTACATTATGGCTCCAAAGTGTTGGATTAAGAAAGCATCATTTTAAGAATTTATATGAGGTAACTATTAGCGTGTATCACAAAGCTACTTTCATAATTTGAAAAATATGTTTTCATTAAAACTCAAAGGTAGCAGGTAAATCTGCCATTCCTTTAGAAAAGCACTCATGGGGAGATCAAGACTTCCCTTTCCAGTATCAATAATATTAATTAGAATGAGACATGAGATACAGCCAATGTATCACTTCAAGCACTAAGTCAAAGGAGTATGGAATATGTTTGTACATTTTGAATAATGCCCTTTTCCTCAGGACAGTACACCTAATGTTTGGTCCGGGTATTGTGGGACACAGGTAGCATGTATTCTGGCTCTCATCTTCATTTGTTCACAAAATGTGTGTTTAGGGTCCATCTGCTATGCATCCAGCAAATACAGCAGAGCTCATTACAAAGGCACTCTAATGAACTTATGTTCTAGTTTTATCTTAGGATTCACAAACCAAAATGTTCTCAGTGTGAGTGAGAAAGCTGATATCTGTAGGAATTTTATCAAGAACACTTTCTAGCAGGACCCGATGGTTCCCGTCTGTGTCACTCTTACCAATGTGAGAATTCCTTCTCAGTCTGGAAGAGTCCATGCTAAATCGATTCCCTGTCAATCCTGGGAAATCACTTCTCCTCATTTTTCTGTTACTTTAGTGGTGAAGTAGCTTTCACTTGGGTTGTATATTTTTCTTACTGTTTCAGAGACTTCTGAATCATTTATGATTTCATGTAAATAAAATAATTTGATAACTTTACCAAAATGTTTCACAAAGGCATGTAAGTTTGATGATCTTACTAATGAGATATATAAATATGCACATGCATCTGTATAATGTTTTATAGTGTGTCAATGACAAAACTCTTAATGATATCTCAAATGAGTAAATGAGTCTCCTTTCAAATATTACTGTATAAAAGTAAGGTTTTGTCTCTGTGTCTCTGTCCCACACAGCTCCAGAAGTGGCACCTTCTGAGGTCAGCGGAGGAGGTGGAAGCCGATCTGAACTAGTAATAACCTGGGATGTAAGTGTTTGGGCAACATCTTTCCCATTACGTTGCTGCTTTTCATTCAATTATCTCAACTTCCTGCATTGTACTGATATTGATGGTGATGGTGATGGTGGTGGTGGTGGTGGTCATGGTGGTGGTGATGGTGCTTTTGCTAGTGGTAGTAATGTATAGATACTAGTGGCACTGATGCTGGTATTGGTGCTGGTTTGGATGACATCATTTCTGGTGGTATTAGTGCCAGCAGTAGTATTGCTAAGTGATGCTGATGGTGATAAGACAAGCATTATTGCTGATTTTGGTGTTCTTGTGCTGGGAGTAGTACTAGTGTTTGCATAGGGAGGTAGGATGGAGCCACTGATGATGTCACTGATAGGGTTACTATTGTTGCTGTTGATGGCACTAATGGTGCTAGTGTTTGGGATATTGTTGAGTCCAGTACTAGTAGCAGTACAAGGATGTGGTGCTGCCACTGGTGCTGGGAATGGTGCCAATGATTCTGGGTGTGCTGATCCTTCATAGAGTCTGTGCCAGTGATAGTGTTAGTGTTGATACTAGTGCTCCTGTTGATTTTAGTGATTCAGGTGATACTGGTGCTGATGTTGATAGTGATGGTACTGTTGGTGTCATCGGTGCTGGTAATGTCCATAGCACTCATTGTACTGGTGGTAGCAGTGGTGATAGTGTGGATGGTGCTGATGGTGGCAGTAATAGTACTGCTGATGGTCTTAGCGGCAATGCAGATAATTATGCAAAGTGTTAGTGATGATGCTTCCAGTACCTCTGGCAGCAGAGCTGGTCACATTGATTCTGTCACTGGTAATACTGACAGCATTGGCAGTTCTGTGCTGGTAGTGGTGCTAGTGGCATTGGTGCTGTAACAGCACTCACTGATTGGTAGTACTGGTAGTCATATAGTGATGGAAATAATCGTACTGAGAGTGGCAGTGCTCATGAAATTAGTGGTTCCACTAATGGTGGTGGTGTAGTAATGCTGCTGAGGCTTATCCAAATGATGCTATTTTTGGAAGTAGTACTCTTGGTGGTGATACTGGTATTGATTCTTGTGGTACACATCTTGGTGATGGTACTTGTGGAACTAGTGGTGCCTCTAGTGGCCTAAGTCACAGTGCTTCTGGTGTTGGTTCTATTGATGGTATAAATGGTAGTCGGCCTGGTGCTGATATTATCAATGTTGGAGGAGCTATGGATGATGCTTATGATGGGATTGGTAATGGTGCTCACAGTGTTGCTGGTGGCACTATTTTTGGTGGTACTGGTATAACTAATATTGTTGCTGTAGTACTAGTGGTTCTGCTGGAACTGTCAGTACTGATTCCGGTGGATGTGGTGGTGTTGGTGCTGTCAAGAGTAGTGCTGGTGCTGGTGTCTCTGTAGAGCTAGCAGCATTGGTGATAGTAGAAGGTCTAGGAATATGGATGTGGATCATGCCGGGTGGGTGCTCTTACCAGTGCTTTTAAGAATAGATGCTGCTGATTCTTAGAATTTCCAGCACTGATGGCAGTGTTGTTGCTGATGTTGGTGGAACTCCCTCGGGGAGTTGTGCTGCTAATTTTGGTGTTGTTGATTCTGAATGTAGTGATGCTTATAACTCGGATAGTCCTGGAGCTGGTCCATGGTGCTATAGCTAGTCGTGGTGGTGCTGGTCGTCGTGGCATTGATGCCTGTGGTACTGCTCTTCACCCAGCTGCATTCCGTGCTAATCACTTTTCCTCTCGTTTGCACTTACTATTTTCATTCCATACTTACAATGTGGTATCAGTAAAAATAACAAGGCAAGGAGACCATAAACAGTTTGATCAAAATCACTTGGTTCTTGAATGTGGAACTGAGAATCAGGCACTAACAGTTGACTCTTGTTCACTCGTAATTTTCTATGCAGCCCTGTGTGTCCCGTCAATATCACACAGACCATCGTGTGCTTGGGTGTCGAGCTTCTTTCTGGTCATTCTCTTAGCCTTAGCTTCATGTCACAATTAGGAAATACTATAATAATGAATTTAACATTTAAAAGACACTAGAACTAAATTCTCTGTGTAAATTTGCAGATAGTGATTAACAAGTAAAATGCCATTTTCCTGTGGTGGATATAAGCAGAATCTTTTACATAAGCACATGTAGCTTTGAATTAGAGTGTTGGATTCACTTCCTCTTTCTCTCTAGTGTTTTTGTTCTGAGTCATAATATCCAGGTATGACCTTTTTCTGTAAAATTAGCACTTAGGGATTTGATCATTTTTATTTGTCTTAAAAAAACAGGTGTTCTTGAATGAAAGTTTATGTTATTAGTAACTCAGACTTAGACCATGTGATATTCTGATATCTAAATAATTAAAGAAAATGCAATTTCATTATCTAGATGCCTGTGAATGAGTGACATGACTTTGAATGACTGTCTAAAAGCAGCTCACCTGACTGCTCATGGGTGCTTTTCTCATTTTCAAAATACATCTGCTTAATTCCATATAGATCATCGTTTAATGACTTTCAATTCCACAAATGATTTCTCTATCTTTTTTCCTGGACCTTATAAATTAGGATGACTTAATATGTCTTTTCTTTGTAGCCAGTCCCTGAAGAACTACAGAATGGTGAAGGTTTTGGGTACGTGGTTGCTTTCCGCCCACTTGGGGTTACCACCTGGATCCAGACAGTGGTGACATCCCCAGATAACCCAAGATACATCTTTAGGAATGAAAGCATTGTGCCTTTTTCACCATATGAAGTTAAAGTGGGTGTTTACAATAACAAAGGTGAAGGGCCCTTTAGCCCAGTGACAACAGTATTCTCTGCAGAGGAAGGTATGGAAAATACAAAGGCTTTAGTTCCAATCTAATCAATGCATTGCTTTTAAAAAATGTCTTGAAAGTTATTTGTGACTTCAGAGATGTATTTTTTTTTCAAAAGAGCAGTCACCAGAGCTATTGTTAGATTACTAGTGCAGATAATAATGATCAACTGTACCTGACTATGAATGTTAAGACTCACTGAATAGTTACAGAGCATAATGATCAATTACAACTGTTCATGAGGCACTCCCATCCTGAGTTTCATATTGTGAGCCATGGAATACTGTCACCTCCTAAAGTTCATTTTTCTTCTTGGTGTAAAAATTAAGCAGTCCTTCAACTACCCTGACCCAATGCTGTAAACAGTATTTCCTACGGCCTCAGCAAAGGACAGAAGCATGATGGATAATGAGAACCAGGAGTTTGACATTTAAGAGATGTAGAGTGTCTATCTTTGAAGGATGACCCCAACTGTTGTAGACACTTGCATACTTCACCAAGAACCTGCTCAGTCATTCTGACTTTCTTGTACACCTCCTCAAGAAATCAAAATATAATATTTTCTTTCAAGCCCTCTTGAGAAAATGATAATGAAATTAGGAGAATCAAGCAAAATTGCCATCTGAGATATTGACAACTGAATGCTAACCCTGTAATCATGTTCTGTCCCATACCATGTTATATGGAGCACTCAACATCTGCCAGGCATTGCCATTTTGAATTTTCAAATAAAGGTTGAAACATAGATTCAATTATTAGTTTCCATTTAGACATGAGAAAATGGGAGATTGATGAAGGATGTGAACAAATTTGCTAAAATATATTTAGTAAATGGAAAAACCAATTTCACCCAGGGAACTTTGGCCTTAACCATTCTGAACTTATGAACAATGATAGCATATTGTTTCCCCTACATCTCAGACTGGGTAATAAATTATGAAACATGGTTCAAAGTTGGTGACTTCAATGGTAATAAATATAGTCAGCTTTATTAAGACTCCCACCTCTAGTCTTATATTTTCATTTTTCCATTAATGGGGAAGAATAAAATTGTTGTAAAAATCTTTTCTAAAGAGTGATCCTACTGTTTATAGCCAGACCCATTTTCCAGAAACTATCAGACCTATAAGGGCAGACCAGGGCTTAGACAGTGATGAACCAAGGAATCTTTAGATACTGCCTACCCATGCACCTAAGACCTGAGTGTTGTTAGTGGAATAAAGAGACATCCAGAGCTTTCTACCTATTCTTGTATTGCTCACTTCCCCTGTGTTGTTACTGTTCTTGACCCACTTGCAGTGACGTATATACTAGAAATATGTTACTTTGACTCAGTGAGTCAAATTAAAATCTGTTCAGGGAGCCTCATAAAGAACCACAATCCGAGGGTCTCAGAAAATGTTCTGATGCTCTAGACTGCCAGTGCTGAATTGATTGGTTCTAAGTACTGCTGGTGTCTCTGCCCCAACCCTAAGAGTATTTAAATAGAAAAACCACTGTGCCCATCGTTAAACTCGGATTCTATTTCAGCCTCATGTAGTCAGGGCCTAGGATCAGAACCATTTAATGCAGAAATGGATGTTGAAGAGGAGAAATGTCCGCTGAGAACCAGTATGCTGAGAAAAGCAAATCTCTGTGAACCCCATAAAACCCAGGAACAAGTGTTACAAAGAGGATTTCCTGGTGATAAAATGGACATGTCTACTCTCTCCTTTGATAGAATCTGCAATCTATCGCATTTGAATCTCTGTTCCCTAGAAACTGCACTCACTCAGTACTTATGAGCCAATGACATTGACTTGACCTTGGTCTTTGCTTGACATGATGTCAGTAGCATTTGCAGGTAAACAGCTGGTGTGGGATGAAGGAGAGGGAAGCAAAGACAGGATGGAAAGAACAAAAGGATGGATTGAAAAAAGGAAGATACTAAGAAATAAGTCCAAAGAGTGAAATATAGGTTGCTATGGCAATTAGGCTATGAAAACCTAGTAACTATGAAGTCACCTTTTCCTAAGCAGAAGAGTAGGATCCATATTTTCACGATATGGTAAATGATTTCAAATACTTTTACAGAATATTATAAGTTCTTCAACTGATCAATGTTTTTATTATTATTATTTAAAGATTTCAGCCAAGTTTTATGGTACATTCGTATAATTGCAGTCCCCTAGAACCAAGGCAGGATGATTTTTGTGAGTTCTAGGCCTGCCTAGACCACATGAAAAGTGCAAGACCAGCTAGGACTACATGCCAATACCCTGTCTCAAAAACTTAAATTGAAAAATTTTAAATTTAGAATTTCAGATGATTTGTCAATTTAATGCCCAACATTATCACTGTATTCCAATTTCTGTTTCTGAACAGAGCCTACAGTAGCCCCATCCCACATCTCTGCCCATAGCCTGTCTTCTTCAGAAATTGAAGTTTCATGGAACACAATTCCCTGGAAGTTGAGCAATGGACATTTACTTGGCTATGAGGTAATTGCTTTAGAATTAATGTGTATTTGCATGTTGCTACAATGTTTTATTTTAAATTCTTCTTAACATCAGCATTTTAGACAAATACTGTCTTCAGCTGAAATTTTCTTACTGGCAGGCACATTGCCCCATCAGAGTATTTTAACTCAGCCAGGTAGATGGAAATAACCATTTAGGTGGAGAAGGCTCATACAATAAATATGGAAGAAAGTTGTGGAATCTAAATCTTCTATGTGGCTTCTCTAAAATAACAAGAATGAGATTGAACTATAGTACCGAGTGTATATAATTATTATGTCACCAGGAAAACACATTCCCCAGGTTTTTGGCCTATTCTCTTGGTGTTCTTGTTACATTGTAAGATTCTCTTCTAGTCTCTAGTACACTTAGCAGCCTGTAACATGACTCTCACTTGCAGTGATCTCTGTATTTGGTGAAATAAGAAAAATATTTAAAGAGATGATATCATAAGACCGAATAAAATGAAAGTCAAAATAAGTCAGCAAGACAGCAAATCAGTTTGAGTGCAAAAGGACATGCCATTTTGATAGGGTCCACAAGGGTAGGAAAGCTTAGCCAGGAAATTAAAGGAAAAGTAAATAAACATGGAAGAAGTATAACATTTCCCACTGAGCATGAATAGTGTAGACATCGCTAAAGGGCATTCGCTGGAGAAGGGTGACTTCAGAATGGCGTAGCAGAGCCATTTTACACATGGTGCTGAATAATAAAATGATCCAATGTTTAATAAAAAGCAATATAACTAAGAACTAGATAAATGAAAGAAAACAATATTAAGGTTTATTTAACAACAACATTGTTGGAATGATAGTTATGATTTCTACTTTTCCTACATCTGTCTTCTTAGGAACCTCCCTGTCTTAGGGTTTCTATTACTGTGATAAAATTTCATGTCCCAAAGCAACTTGTGGAGGAAAGGGTTTATTTCACCTTACAACTCTTGGGCCACACTCCATCACTGATGGAAGTCAGGACAGGAATCAGGAAGCAGGAACTGAAGCAGAAGCCATGGAAGAATGCCACTTACCAGCTTGCTTCTCATTGCTTGCTTAGCTCGCTTTTTTGTACCATTCATTACTACCTGCAGAAGGGATGACATCTCCCACAGTGTTCTTGGCCCTTCCATATCAATCATTAGTAAAGAAAATGACCTACAGACTTGCCTAAGGCAATCTTATGGAGACATTTTCTCAATTGAAGTTCCTCTTCTCTGATAACTGTAACTTATGTTAAGTTGACAACAAAACAACAACAACAACACTACTTCTATGGGCAACCAGGCGATTTGGCCAGGCTTACATGGGCATGTTAGCTCCACACAGCCTTTTCCCCTTCTGCTTTTGAGTCCAACCACAGGCGTTGGTCCTAGGGTGGTCACTTGATCATAGGCAACTGGTCTATAAAAAGTACATCACAATCAGTAGGGTTCTTATTTGACATGTTTAAGTAAGTAGGGTAGACATTATAGCCATCGAGGTGCTGTGTCAGATTCACAGCTTACTTCTATTTTGTAAGCTAACACTCCAGGCATACCGGGCAATGCTGGTAAGATGAGAGGGAGCAGATATACTCCTGTGTTGCCCTGGATGATAAAGCAAGCAAGAGCTTATAGAACTTCAGAAAGAACAAATAGAAGAGCCATTTGATAGCTACCTGAATCTCAAGTAGCCTTGAGATTTGTTGCCACTTTGCCCTGCTTCTCATTAAAGTCTCTTTGTATTTGAACAGCTCTGAGTGTCTCCATTCCTTGTAACCAAACAAGGCTTGACTTAAATAAATATTAACCAGTGAATTAGAGATAGGACAGGCACCAGAGCAGTGATGCTTAAGATATAGGCTAGGGGTCAGTTCCTCAGAATTACCTGGGGTTATCAGTAAACATGAGCTCTGTAAATTCTCCTTAAAACCACTGGATGAAATCATGTAGGTAATGTACACGTTTTAGTAAGTATTAGAAAGGTGACAGCTTTTATGATTAAACATAAGAAGAACAGGTTTTGATAGAAAAAGACCAAATCAGAAACAAGAGACACTCATTAAGGGAGGTGGAGGGTGAAGAGTGTGAAACACCATAAAAATACAGCAGGGACATGATCAGCCTCTAAAATGAGGCCAGAGGAGAAAGTAGGAATCCAGACACCTGATCCTGTGAGGTGGGTGTAAGCAGTGGGCCATGATAGGGCAACAGCAGCAGCTCCCAAAGGCTAGAGCACTGACTGTGACAATGACAATAAAGCTCTGTTGGCTGCAAGCAGGAGCAGGGCCGCAAAGCAATGAAGAGAAAGCCAGTCCCTGCTGTGTGAGCAGTTTCATAAGCTGCATGCTTTCAGGAAGCTGGACAAGGTAACATGTGGAAGGTATTTGTCATAACATATGGCCCATGAAAATAAAAAGCCAGCTGGAAAGCATGTCTAAAGAGACTATTTAAGATGTTTATTTGCCAATTTTATTCCAGTAAATAGTCTCAAGCAGACACTGAGTCCTAAGCTTTCTTGCTTAAAGAGAGCTTGAGGAAACTCGGGAAGAGTTGAGTCACCCGGCCTGATACCTACCTGATGTCTTCTAGCATTCTTTCCATAGGGTAAGAAACGTCAGTAGATAGTTCTGTGTGTCTTGGAGGGTGCTGAGAAAGAAAATATGGAAAATTTTGGGTCTTCGTGGGAAACATTTTTGAAACTCCCTAGCAGTGCCCAGCCGGATTCTTGGCAAGACCACAGAAAGGAGCAGATGTGCTCTGGCATACAGCAGTGATTTCCCATTCACCTAGAATAGCCCCACACTGGTACACCTAAAGGGCTAAAATCAAATGTCATAAAAAGCTACCTGTCCCAGCTTTGAAAAATGACCCAGGAGTGACTGTAATTGAAATTCCCATAAGATGAGCAGGACAAAGGATTTAGTTTTCAGTCAAAACTAGTCAAGGAAAATCAATGTATATATTTGACAATCTTTAGTGAGGAAATAGAAATGCATGCCAACCTTGAATGCTTTTGCCCTTACAAACAAAAGCAGGGTCGTAAGTCCCAACATGGCTGTACCTTGTGATACAATTAAATGAAATAAATGAGTACACCATTCTGGACTTGTGGGCTTATAAAACATCTTGAGAGTGTTGGCTGTTGGGAATTGTTAGCACGGGATATTTACATGTTATGGATGTGTGTGTAAACATGATTTTAGAGGCCTAAAGTTGATGTTGAGTGTCTTCCTCTATTTCTTTCCACCTTCTATTTTTTTTTTTTGGTTTTTCGAGACAGGGTTTCTCTGTGTAGCTTTGTGCCTTTCCTGGGACTCACTTGGTAGCTCAGGCTGGCCTCGAACTCACAGAGATTCGCCTGGCTCTGCCTCCCGAGTGCTGGGATTAAAGGCCTGCACCACCACCGCCCAGCCCACCTTCTATTTTTGAGACAGGATTTCTCACTGAACCTAGAATTAATTAGTTCAGAAAGACTAGCTGACCAGTAAGCCCCAGGTATCCACTTGTTTATGGCCCCCTAACATGGGGTTTTAATCCTACAACAAGTATGATTAAAGAAATGACAGACACCAGGGCTGTACCAAATTTTGCATTTAAATTCTGGGGATTGAACTAAGTAGGGCACATGAGTTCTGAAATGACTGTGAAATGTCCCCAGCCCTGACTTTTTTAATGTATAAATTCAGCTGCTGAAGAGTTATTCAGAAAAGGTCATTTTATTGAAAATAGATTTCATGTTGGAAAAAGCATATGAGCATGTGATTGATAGAAAATCAAAGAACCCTAGCATCTCGTAGAGGTTACACCATTTTCATGCAGTCAGATCTTCCTGGGTGAGGAGATAGGCCCCATATGGAATAGAGAACTTCACTTAATTGTTTGTTCCTGTTTCCCAGGTACTCAGGGTAGTACGAAAAAAAGATGACTAACTTAATACAGTTTGGACTTTGCTGTTTGGGAAGTGAGCTCCAGGACATTCATAAAGCTTTCAAAGGTTCACTTAAAATAGAGATAATACTAGCCAATAACTCAGAGCCTTGTTTTAGAATTAAGTGAAAGAAAGCTCCTTGCCCGTCCTTAATATATGGGGAAGTGCTTAGTCTTACTGTGACTTGATATGCCATGTTTTGTTGATACTCATGAGAAACCTGCCCTTTCCTGAACTGAAATGAGTGGGAGAGGGTTAGGGAGGTTGGAACAGAAAGGGTTGGGGAGAGGGACTGGGAAGGAAGGGAAAACTGCAGCTGGGGTGTAAAATAAATAAATAAACAAATTTATTTGTTAAAAACAGCAGCATTTGTCAAAACTGCCCAAGGAGACTTACTTTCTGTTTTGAATGTTGGACTTTGGATTCAAATTTCACTGAAAAAAATAATTAAAAAGAAAGACAGGAAATAAGTCTACTGTGCATCAAATGTGTGACCCCAGAGCTGTTGTTCCTGTTACTGGTAGGGCAGGGGGCAAGGGACTGCAAGAACAGTGATAATGCAACTTTCTACATAAACTTTTGGGTTGGGGAGTGTTTGCATTTTTCCTGTTTGTGCAAAAAATAACAAACAGGATCTTCAAATGTAGCACATACAGTGTGTGCAAAAGAAGCCATGATTGAAAAATGTACTCTACAAGTGTGTGATATGCACAAAGAAAAAGAAAATGAACTAAGAGATTCATGAACTGGTGGGGAAAATGTTAAGAATTCATTTATGTAATTTTAGCCTGATAAAAATATACCTTTTCTTAGTTTCAGCAATTATTTCAAAACTAACCTGGAAGGATAAATGACTTAGCAGAGTAATTAATTATCAGTCATGTGGCTGAGTTTGTGGGTTGCAGTTTCTCAAGTTTGTCTTTGAACTTGTTAATAGCTCCCGCCTCTCTCTCATCTCAGTGAGAGCTGATCACGGCCCATGTGGCAAGCTGAGCACATGTCGTCATTAGCATCAAGACTAATTTTCTTTCTGATTTGACCAAGCGTTAGTTGAGAAGCTCATTTCCCTGGGCT